TAATAGGTGTATGACCGTATCCCATGTGTGCCTTGTCGACTCAGTTGAATCGAAAAGTCCTCTACCATTTTGCAAAATTCGCAATCGTTAACAAGATATTAATTTTCCAAGATCGGCGAATAAACTTAATATCTCGTTAATAAATGCAAATTTTACAAAATAGTAGAGGACTTTTTTGTTCGGTTTAATCTACTTATCTTGCCACGCACTTGCATTCAGCGGTGGGCCGAATGAATACGCGTTTATTCATCAATCTTCAAAAATTAATGTCTCGTTTACGATTGCAAATTTTGCAAAATGGTAGAGGACTGACTTTTCGATTCAGTTTAGTCCGTTCTACCTACCCATGAACGGTCATACACCTATTATGAAACACCCTGCATATGAGCAGGCACACGAGTGCAAAGTCGTGTAAGCACTTACAAATGAAATATCTTAAATCTGACATTAAACTGCCTTTAATTTAAAAATTAGACATAAAAATGTTTTGTTAAAGAAAAATTATCAAAAATTAGTAAAAAAATTTAAAAATTAAACATAAAACATCTAAATGACAAAGCAACTACAAGGAACTTCAAATGTATGTGTAGCATTCACAAATTTCAAGAACAGGAATTTACCTGTGGTGCTACACCTTCGTTTCTTAATATCATGTTTAAAAAATTTTGTCTTACATGTACAGTTGCATCAGTATGCCCTTTACGATTTGTTGTACGCAATGAAATTGTTTGCGTTGATTGTGAGTTTTTCTTTTGTTTGACTATCTTTTCCAGAGCTTTTTGCTTTCTTCTAGCTTTCTTTATTTTAACAATTTCATTGTATAATTTCTTAGCTTTAGTACTTAATAAAACTTTCCGTGTAATTTCTTCAAGGTGAGGTCTTACATTTCGTGGTTTACTTTGTATTTTCAACGCTTTCTCAATATTTTCGATTTTTTGTTGCTGTTGCATTACTATTTCTTGAGTGTGTTGTAACTGTTGTAGTTGTAGTTCATGATCGATCAATACATTTTCATGTTTATGTAGCATTTCTGTGTGGCATTCCTGTATAACATTGCTGTTTTCATGCAGAATTTCTAATTCCTCATGTTGTTCTTCATGTTGTTTTATATGATTATTGCAATCGACATTCAACTGATCAACTAATTCCGCCACATGTTGCGACACATTTACAGATGGGAATGCAAAGCGTATTAATACTCTATTTTTAGCAGAACCACTATAATCCTCCTCACGAAAATGCCTGTAGCATACTGTCAATTTTTTAATTTCTTTTTCGTCCTCTAATGGTTCCATGTGCAAACTTTGAAACCATTTTTTTCGACGTTCGGCATTCATTGGGAAAGCATGACGTGGAGCGTTCTTTCCCGAAGAACATCCAGAGACACAACAAACTCTCATTTTCTCTAATTCGTAAATAACGAATTTCGTAATTATTGCAACTTGCGCGTTTTGATTACGGTGATTATATGTAAAAAATGCTCTAAGACAGATTTATGTGTGCAATTCTTCCATTTGATCTTGGAGGATCCAGCAAAGATCCTTAAGATTATCCAGCAAGTGTTACAAATTATTTTTGAATAGTAACAAGACAAGCATAACTGCGATCAAGGAAAGCGACACGAATAGTGCTAATAATATGACCAGAATTATAGAGCGAATGTAAGTAGCAGCCCAAATCGAAACAATATGTAGCTACAATATTGACAGTTTCTTAGTATTGTTAGACAGAAATTAACTCAACAAAAAGCAAATAAAAATCACTTACCTTTTCAGTAGAAATCAGTCAAAAAGAGAACCAGTAACGGATGGCCGAGCAATAGTGTACCGTGGTCACGGTGCGCTTGTCACAGCGATGAGACCTGCAGAATTGCACGACAATTTGCTGAGTGCCCAATCTGCAGTCTAATTGTACAATCTTGAGTTTGTGATCGTGCTCACTGAAAAAAAAAAGAATATATATATATATGTACATAAGCGTATTAAAACGCAGAAGATTTAAATAGAGCACTAAACGTAAGATCAAATCATTTACCTTTTCAGATTCTTCCACTGCAAGTTGTTACGCTTCTGCGTAAGGAAGATGTAGTCAGCAGATCTAGCAATTTCCAACGACCGAGCAATAGTGTACGTGGTCACGGTGCGCTTGTCACAGCGACGAGAGAATTGCAGGACAATTAGCTGGGTGCCCAATCCAGTCTAATATATTTTACAATCTCAACCGCTTGTGATCGTGTTCACTGGAAAAAAAAAATATATATATATATATATATATATATATATATATATGCACATAAGCGTATTATAATGCAGATTTAAATAGAGCACTAAACATCAAATTTATCTTTTCAGAATCTTCCACCACGTTTCACAAGTTATTATGTTTCTGCATATAACAAAAGTTCCAAAAGATGTTGAATTTCAATCAACAAGTGTCAATTTAAATCACCAACGATTTAAATACCCAACAATCGAGCACAACTGTATATAATTTTCACAAGACACACAAGAATGAAGAAAGCTTTTCGCAAATCGACAATCGGTCGAACGAACTCAACGAACGTTGACTTTATAATCACGGTAATCACGCAATAATCACGCTCCAATGCTGCGTACTGCGTAGTATGAGCAGTCATAATACATTATATTATTGAGTGATATTACCGACAGATGTGGATACTTAGTTCCATTTTGCCGAGTGTGAGTCTGTGAGGGCGCCAAAACGCTGTCCCCCAAAAATACATGGGAGTGAACAGGCCCTGATAGACGGAGAGCTGGCTACATGGGGTGCGACATGCCTCGGTGCATGAAATATTTTACCTGGAAAAGGTTCGATTGCTACCAGCAAAGCGAAAGCCGGACCGTCAGAAGGCGCGCTGGAAGACAAGTGCGTGGGCGGACGATCAAACGTGTAAATTGTCCAACTAAAAAAACTGTCGATGTGCACGGCTGAAAATTTACATAGATATCGAGGATCATGAGAAAAAGCAGTAAAAAAATTGTCAGAAGAATAAGTGAAAG